GCTAACCAAAAGGTTGGCGGTTCAAACCCATCCAATGGCTCTTCAGGAGAAACACTTGTTGATTCTGCTCCCATAAGGATTGCCAGTTGCCATCGAGTTGATTCCGACTTAGTTACTTGTGAATGTGTTCTCAGGTGCCGTCAAGTCAATTCCAATTCATAGCGACCCTATAGGACAAAGTAGAACTTCCCCAGAGGGCTTCCAAGGCTGCAATCTTGTTTATTTATTTATTTGTTTATTGTACTTTAGAAGGTTTATAGAACAAACTAGTTTCTCATTAAACAGTTAGTACACATTTATGACACTGGTTAACAACCCCACGACATGTCAGCACTCTCCCTTCTCGACCTTGGGTTCCCGGTTACTAGCTTTCCTGTCCCCTCCTGCCTTCTAGTCCTTGTCCCTGGGCTGGTGTGCCCCTTTAGTCTCTTTTTGTTTTATGGCCCTGTCTAATCTTTGGCTGAAGGGTGAACCTCTAGAGTGACTTCATTACTGAGTTAAAAGGGTATCTGGGGCCATACTCTTGGGGTTTCTCCAGTCTCTGTCAGGCCAGTAAGTCTGATCTTTTTTTGTGAGTTAAAATTTTGTTCTACATTTTTCTCCAGCTCTGTCCTGGACCCTCTGTTGTGGTCCCTGTCACAGCAGTCAGTGGTGGTAGCCGGGCACCATCTAGCTGTACTGGACTCAGTCTGGTGGAAGCCGTGGTAGATGTGGTCCATTGGTCCTTTGGACTAACCTTTTCCTTGTATCTTTAGTTTTCTTCATTCTCCTTTGCTCCCAAAGGGGTGAGACCAGTAGAGTGTCTTAGATGGCCGCTCACAGGCTTCTAAGACCCCAGACACTACTCACCAAAGTAGAATGTAGAACATTTTCTTTATAAACTATGTTATACAAGTAAGCTAGACGTTCCCTGAGACCATGGTCCCCACACCAAGGCTGTAATCTTTACGGAAGCAGATTGCCACGTCTTTCTCCTGCAGAGCACCGACTTTTCAGTTAGCAGCTGAGCGCTTAACCACTGCACCACCAGGGCTCCTTCCGGTAAAGAATACAGCCTAGAAAACCCTATGGGGCAATTCTGCTCTGTCACATGGAGTTGATATGAGTCGGAATTGACTCAACAGCACCTGAGAACATATTCGGTCATATCTATACATAGTATAAGTTTTCCTAAAACGTACATTTAGACTATCACACGTTATTACGAGGCATGGGGTAGTTTCCATGTTTGGAGGGAAAAAAGATACATCAAACTCATGACCACCCTAGTTGTAACTCACACCGTCCTGCACTCTCCTCCCTCAGTGAGGTCACTTGTGGAACTGTGAACAGGTGAGGATTTGGGAGGTCTGGTGTGACTGCCCCTCTGTCTGCAGACAGGTCTTGAGTGGTTAGGTGGCGTGAGTGCTTTACAAACTCACACATCCTGTCCACAGGGGCCAGTCCGCGGACAGACTCCCAGCTTTGGCATCACGCTAACTCTGGGTTCAAACCCTGACTTCCTCCCTTAAAACTTTGGGACCCTGGTAAATCCTGTACCTGCCTCAGTCTTGTGGAGTATTACCTACCTTCTGGGGTGGCTGTGAGATGTAGAGGACTTTCAGCATGTTACAGAGTAATCGTCATAGACGATCAGCAGATACTAATTTCTTGCCCTTTATTCATTTCAGAGTAGCTATACATGCAATCTCTAGAAGTGCTATTTGAGACCCTCTGCATGGGTCAGAGGTCTGTTCAGTGAGGGTCAAGGAAAGGGCAGGGTGGCTGGGATGTGCTTTTGGTGAGTTTGGGCTAACCCGCGGAAATAGGCTGTCATCCATGTGGTAGGATTTGGGAAGAAGCACTTGGGAGATTCTCACCCCCTATTTTCTATTTCCCTTATATTCTATTTCAGGGTGCCTGGAATTTTGTCATTACAATATCCTCGCTTTGAATGCTGAGGTTGTTCCATTTTCTAGATTGTCCTGTTGAAACATGGGTTCCCTCCAAGTGGGGCACCACCACAAGGCTTTATGGACTAATCCCTTAGCAAGGATGAATTAGTTCTGCAGGCAGCTTGCTGATAACGGGAAGGTAAAATGGGGACTCTGTGGCCATGCCTTTCAGAAGGTCGAGAGATGGAAATCGACGATTTAGCGGAAACGTTCTCTACACATGTGGCTGTTGTCGTTGGGTGCCATCAAGCTGATTTGGACTCATAGGGACCCCGTGTGACAGGGTGGAACTGCCCGGTGTTGTCTTCTTAGCTGTGATCTTTACAGGAGTGGGTTGCCAGGTCTTTCTGTTGAGGAGCCTCTGGGTGGGTTCAAATGGCACAACCTTTCAGCTAGCAGCCAGATGTTTACCTGTTGCATCACCCGTGGTGTGGAGAGTGTTAAGTTCCCATTCTTTCTTTAACAGCTCAAGAACAGGAAGGCTGATCCTATTAAGAATACATATTAATGCTGACCACATGCCTGGCACTGTCTTTAGTGCTCTGTGTGTATTGGCTCGTTTAATAACTAGTAACAACCATGAAATGGGCACAGTTATCTTTCCCCTCTTGTGGTTAAGGAAATCGAGGCTTACAGATATTAACCAGGTAGATTTCTTTCTTTCTTTCTTTTTTTTAAATTGTACTTTAGATGAAGGTTTACAGAACAAACTAGCTTCTCATTAAACAATTAGTACACATATTGTTTTGTGACATTGGTTCCCAGCCCACGATATGTCAACAGTCCCCCCTTCTCAACCTTGGGTTCCCCATTATCAGCTTTCCTGTCCCCTCCTGCTTTCTGGTCCTTGCCCCTGGGCTGGTGTGCCCATTTAGTCTCATTTTGTTTTATGGGGCTGTCTGATCTTTGGGGAAGGGTGAACCTCAGGAGTGACTTCATTACTGAGCTAAAAGGGTGTCCGGGGACCATACCCTCAGGGTTTTTCCAGGCTCTGTCAGGCTAACCAGCTAGATTTCTTGAAGTTACACAGCTGCTTCACTGGGGGTCTGCATGCAGACCCAGCAATCTGAAGAGAGAGTCTTCATGGAAAGAAAGGCAAGCCCTCCAGGGAAGAAATACATTTCCTCTTTTTCTTTAACCCAGTTTATCTGAAGCAGTAAATAAAAGTAAATGAGCTATGGTGAATTTGCTTTTTAATAAAATTTTCTATTGAATATATGAATATGTTGGAAAATCTTCCTTACGTTGGTAAAAACATAAAACAAACGAGTTGCTGTGGAGTTGACTCGAACTCATGGTGACCCCACGTGTCAGAGTAGAACTGTGCTCCATAGGATTTTCAGTGGCTGATTTTTTTGGGAGTAGATCGCCAGACCTTTTTTCTGAGGTGTCTCTGGGTGGACTCGAACCTCCAACCTTTTGGTTAGCAGTGTATGGTGCCTTTAAGGTGGTAGAACCTAAGAAATTTATTCATTTTGCTCTCTACCTGGACAGGCTACACAGACCCTGTGTAAAACCTTTGCAGTCTGTTAACTACTGCCTGCCCTCCGTGATCCTGGCCTACCACTGGTAACTGTCTTCAGCAGTATAAACCAAAAACCAAACCGTTGCCATAGAGTCGATTCCAACTCATAGCGACCCTATAGGACAGAGTAGAACTGCACCATAGTGTTTCCAAGGGGTGGTTGGTGGCTTTGAACTGCTGACCTTTTGGTTAGCAGCCAAGTTCTTAACCACTGTGGTATAAACCAAAAAAAAACCCAAACCCATTGCTGTTGAGTTGATCCCAACTCATAGTGACCCTATAGGAGAGAGTAGAACTGCCTCATAGGGTTTCCAAGGAGTGACTGGTGGATTTGAATACCCACCTTTAGGTTCGCATCTGAGCTCTTAACTGGCAGTGCAGTGGTTAAGAGCTCGGCTGCTAACTTAAAGGTTGGCAGTTTGAATCCACCAGCTGCTCCTTGGAAGCCCTATGGAACAGTTCTACTCTGTCCTATAGGGTCGCTATGAGTCAGAATTGACTCAATGGCAACAGATTTTTTTTTACTGGTGTTAGCAAGGAGCCTAGGCGGCACAGTGGTTAAGAGCTCAGCTACTAACCAAAAGGTTGGCCATTTGAATCCACCAACCGCTCCTTGGAAACCCTATGGGGCAGTTCTACTCTGTCCTATAGAGTGGAAATTGTTTTGATGGCAATGGGTTTGGTTTTGGTAACAGTGTTAGCAAGGAGCACTGGTGGTGCAACGGTTAAGCACTCGGCTGCTATCTGAAAGGTCAGTGGTTTGAACTCACCCAGCAGCTCCATCGGAGAAAGCCCTGGTGATCTGCTTCCATAAAGACTACAGCCTAGGAAACCCTATGGGGCAATTCTACTGTGTCACATGGGATCGCTATGAGTCGGAATCGACGGCACCCAACACCACCACCACCAGTGTTGGCACACTTCCCTGGAAGTAGCATGGGGATTTGGAGTCAGACAAACCTGGACTGGAGTTTCTGGTTCCCGACTGTGTTACTTAGAGAGATTTAGGAGAAATTTTCCTGTGCACTAGTTTCTTCATCTGCAAACACGGATAGTAATACTTTGAAAATAATATATGTTCAAAGCCTGGTATGTTGTAGGTGGTCCACATATAGGAGCTGTCCCTGGGTGGTGCAAACAGTTAACAGGCTTGGCTGATAATGGAGAGGTTAGAGGGTCACGTCCACCCACAGGTGCCTCTGAAGAAAGGCCTGGCGATCTGCTTCTGAAAAACCAGCCATTAAAACCCTATGGAGCACAGTTCTACTCTGACACACAAGGGATCACATGAGTTGGAATGGACTTGACGGCAACTGGTTCTATTTCTTTCTAACAAAACTGGTTCCCACTGGGCTCTGCCCCCTCCTTTGTCGTTGCCTCTTTCTCTCTCCCTCGGTAACTCGTATTACATACACCATCAGTTACAGCACCGTTTCCACAGATGTTCTCAAGCTGAGCCTTTAAATCACGGTCTTAAAATAACACCAGTATGTGTCTCTGCTTTTCTGTCTGTGGCCCACAGGTGCGACTTCAACGCCGTCATGTCCTTTGGGAGAGACATGGAGCTGGAGCACTTCGACGAGCGTGACAAGGCGCAGAGGTACAGCAGGGGCTCTCGGGTCAACGGGCTGCCCAGCCCGACCCACAGCGCCCACTGCAGCTTCTACCGGACACGCACCCTGCAGACCCTCAGCTCCGAGAAGAAGGCCAAGAAGGTCCGCTTCTACCGCAACGGAGACCGGTACTTCAAAGGGATTGTGTATGCCATCTCCCCCGACCGTTTCCGATCGTTTGAGGCCCTGCTGGCGGATTTGACCCGAACTCTGTCGGATAACGTGAATTTGCCCCAGGGAGTGAGAACAATCTACACCATTGATGGCCTCAGGAAGATCTCCAGCTTGGACCAGCTTGTGGAAGGTGAGAGCCTTGTGATAAACCCCCAGGTCACTGTAGAGGTTAAGTTCTCAGATGTGCACGTTGGTTCAGCTGTCTCCCTCTCTGTCGTTTTTGGGTGCTGACGAGTCACTTCTGACTCACAGCAACCCCATGTGACAGGGTAGAACTGCCCCATAGGGCTTCCTAGGCTGCCGTCTTTATAGGAGCAGATCGCCAGGTCTTTCTCCCATAGATCTCCTGGGTGGGTTCCAACAGCCAGCCTTTGGATTAGTAGACAAGCGCTCAACTGTTGTGCCGCCAGGGCTCCTTCCCCCTTGATAGAAGGTCGCATTAACCCTTATGGCCGTGATCTTTGTGATTTCACACATTGGGTGGTTCACTTTGTTGTTCTCTGTTGTCGTCGGGTGTCATCCAGTCTATTCCGACTCATGGTGGCCCCATGTGACAGAGTAGAACTGCCCCATAGGGTTTCCTAGGCTGAAATCTTTACAGGAGCAGGTCGCCATGTCTTTCTCCCTTAAGCCTTATGGTTATAGTCTTTATTATTTCACGCAATTGACGGTTTAAAGTACTCTAGTGAAATAAAACCAACCAAACAAAAAACTAATGGTGTTGGGTGAGGAAGCTTGTCATGACGAGTGGAGGGAAACATGTGTCTGTAATTCTACTGCATTCTCTTATTTTCTTTCTCACACCTATGCTACGTTCATTTCAGAAGTCCATTTTTATATCTTTAATTACGTAGTTCATATTCACTTCTAGATGCAAACGGGACTTTTGCTCTCATGATATCCAAAAGTACTTGAACTGAAATTGTCTAATGAATCGTGAAATTTTTGAGTTGCAAGGAGTCTTAGCTAGCTGTCAAGCCCATTAGTTTTATAAGTGAAAACTGAGGCTCAGAAAACTCACGTGGCATGTCTAGCGTTCCTGGGTCAGTTAGTGGTAACGCCGGACAAAACAATTCGGGGTTTTGACTCCTTTCCACTGTGATGCTGTCTTTTAAATTTAAAGGACTGTTGTTGTTGTTGTTAGGTGGTGTCAAGTCGATTTTTTTCTTTCTTTTTTTTTTGTACTTCAGGTGAAGGCTTACAGAACAAATAGTTTCTCATGAAACAGTAGTACACGTGTTGTTTTATGACATTGGTTAACAACCCCACAACATATCAA